GTCGACATCGCATCGGATGGCAGGATGACTTTACTTCATATAGAACCACCTGGCATTCCACCCCTTCAGCAAGGTATTCAATGGCACAGTAATGTATTCGCCCATCATCACGTCGTGGAGCTACAGATACACACCACTAACAACTTTGGAACTCCCCCCTCCTTTCTTCTTCAGCCAAAAAAGTGTTGGAAGAAATTGAAATGGGGAAGAATGCCAAGATAGACCTCGTAGAAGTGGATAAACACATAAAATGTGCAAAATAGTGTTCGAATGGAGATTACACAAGCTCACTCCCCAATACTCCAACAGATCCCGCAAGAAGGGATGTACCGGAAGTCCTAATCCACGCTAGAAATAATCTTCAAATATAACGAGTTCATCGGTGTGTGGCATCGGGTAGGGCTCACCGTTGGCCGGACGCCATCCGGCGGTGATACGGTCAGGAAGAACACCTATCTCCACCATCTCGTTGAGCTCCGTCTCCCCCATGAGTGATGACACCCATTCCTTGTCACGGCTCGCTCCGGCGGCCGCCTTCTTCGGGTTACCACCTTCCCTCTTCGACGCCATCCCTCAGATCTGGATCAGAACTAGACAATTTACGCAAGCTTTTTAGCCCTAGCGGTGGAGCACGTGTGAATGTGAATGGGGGAGTGTGAGGGCGAAGAGGAAGATGAAGTGGCAGAGTGGCAAAGGTGGGAGCGCGGAGTGCGGTGACGCAGTTATAAAGAAACCGTACCCACTTTTCGCATTCAAGGGTTTTTGGGAAACCGCACCATATTGATTTGCGCCCTTCCAAATTCCCCAAAGCGGCATGGTGGGCCGTTATCTGGGTTTCTGCGCAACTACGGCCCATATCGCCCATTTTTTGACGCAACTCGGTACTGCACACCGAATATTCGTCGACCTCTCCACAATGCTATCAAGGCTCAGTAATTTCTACTGTACAACCATTACTCCGGCTTTTTCTCCACGATTTGGGTAATCGGCACTTCTTAATTTGTCCGAGATTTTCACTTGTGGCTCGGGGACTACGTCATCAGTATAACTTGGTCTCTCACCATACTGGGGACTTTTTTTTGTTACTATTGTTTCTGACCCTAGCACCACGTGACCACGTCACCTACTGTCAGGCTCGGGGACTAAGTGGGCACACTTCACCTTGCGGTGAATGTGCGCTTTTTATTTTAGGGCTTAGCCCGTGGACTGGTTGCCTGCTCGGCTGATCTTCTGCCTTTCTTCTACTTTCTGGACCCTGGCACCACGTGACCACGTCACCTACTGCTAGGCTCGGGGACTAAGTGGGCACACTTCACCTTGCGGTGAGTGTATTTTCTTTAATCTGTTCACTGTAAGACTCCGTGTCTCCTGAAGTTGAAGAAGATTATCTCCCTTTCTCATGGTCGGACTCTAAGTGGGCACACTTGGTTCACTGCGAAGAAATTTTCGATTTTGAACTTGAGCTCCTTACATCCTTCTGGCAAGCCTTACTTGGGTAAGCCCGTGCTCGGTCAGACAGTTAAGTTGGTCGGTTACGGTCCACAACTGCTCGGCGGCTCATTAGGGTGGTCGGACCATGAGTCTGACTGCTCGGCTTTGTTTACACCTGCTCGGACAAGCTCAAGACGGCGTTGCACAGCGGATACAAGGCGTTCGGGGACTAGCTGTTGGAGGTACGACCCCGGATACCCACGATAGACTACATGGGCTGCACTGCCAGGGACGGTCCAGCCCACAAAACGAAGGCTTACGGTGCACGGTACTGCTCGGCGTGTACCACAAGATATCAATGACGATATTCTAAAGATGCTACAAGATCTGTTAGGATATGTTCGATCTCATGATTCCTATAATCTGTTATTATTTACCGGTTATTTTCTAGATCTAACCAACTTATAACCCTACCCCAACTATATAAGACGTACTATATAAGACGGGTATGGGACCCCTCAAAACACACGTAATATCATACGATAGCCAATACAAACCAACAAACCACAGGAGTAGGGTATTACGTCAGTACTGATGATCCAAACTTGTCTAACTCTTATATCTCTGTTATCTTCTTATTTTAAATTACACGCACCGCTACCCATCAATCTACCTTCACTTACCTGCATGCTGTAATATCGAAAACCAACCGGTCGAGAACCCACAAATATATATACTACACAAATTCAGTTGCAAGAATAAATCAAACATGCATATGAACGCGACCGAGAAGCTGCAAGAAAAGAGATGTATACTGTGCAGCCTTGAATGATTTGCATTTGCCACTGATATGATCCCTCTCTATTTTGTAACTGCTCTTTATAAATATATATATTTTTTTAACAAAAAGTCACTTCACGAGAAGTGGCCAACATAAAGAAAGGCTGCATCGTCAGTGAGTGGGCTTCTGTGTGTGCATGCATGTAAGTAATTTTGTTTTTGTTTAGAGGAGATGACTGTACCCTGCGTAGACTAAAATATAAAATTTCAATTGATAAATACTCCAAGTAGTATTTTCGCCTTGTTTAGATTATTTCAAGCGATAAAATATTATTTGGTAAATATTAATCGTGGACCAACTAAGCTCAAAAGATTTATTTCGTGATTTTCAACTAAACTGTGCAATTAGTTATTTTTTTATTTACATTTAATGCTTCATGCAAACGACTAAAAATTAATGTGATGGAGAGAGAGTGAAAAAACTTGGAATTTTAAGGATATCTAAACAAGGCCTAAGTATTTTTGTTTTTGTTTATAGGAGATGACTGTACCCTGCGTAGACTAAAATATAGAGCAAGTTTGGTAGATGTCATGTGAATATGTGATATAATACTCCAACTTGTGTGCTTTTGGTGATTGCACGGGAAAATTTCAGATAAGGCTTCCCTATAGCGTGAGGACCGCCCTATTTTATTTATTTATATATGTATATGTTGTGCAACCTACTAGTACTAGTATAAAAAAAACAAAGGTTAGGATTTTGTCTTATCACGCATTTAGATAATACTGTGCTCTTGGATTGGATGTAACAAATTAACATGCACAGAGCTAGTGGACCTAGTTGAACCGGCTGCTGCCTTTTCCTTGGTGATTTTCAAATTGCAGTGGCATGTCGTGTATACGTCATCAGCTCCGTTTTAAGAGTAGTTCATTTTTTTTCAAATAACTAGTGTATAGTTCCTATTATTCCATTCCATTAAGATATTAACACGGTCTTACCTATGAAGATTTACTACTTTATCTGAGGTAAGTTCTCTGATAACGAATCTAACTCCTAGTACATAGGCCGGTTTTGTGTTGCCAATTCATACCATATTTTATTATTTTTAGATGCTCAAGGTTAATGTTGAAGATGTTGACCAACAGTGATCCTAGCTAACTCCACTCATTCATACTAGTAAAGATGTAACAAAAAAAATCCTGCAAAATTCAAACAGGTAGCCATAGGTCGGCTAACTTTTCACTTTCCAATTTCTAGCATCTAATCTAACACTAGGGCTTCTCTGAAGTTGATACTCATATGATTAGCAATACAATCATATGCTCTCCGTAGTAGAGCACATTATCTCCTTAGTATATTCATTCACATTCACACACACTGATGACCTCTTTTTGTTCTCACATCAAACCAAATGCAAATCCAAAAGCAGCAGCAAAAAAGAGAGAGAATATGATAAAAGAAAAAGGACCAATTTGACCACATCACGTGGGTCCCACACAGCCCCGTCTCTCTCTCCTCACTCATCACTCTTCTTCAGTCAGAGTCATCACGGCATCCTCCCTCCCCACGGTTATACCCCCACCCTTCTCCCTCCCTCCCTCCCTCTCTAGCCGAGCTCCTTTTCTCTCTCCCCGGGAGGCTTCTCCCTCCTCCTTCCTCATCCCCATTGCCTTTGGGCTATATAGGGCGGGATTGGATTGGATTGGAAAGGGAGCTCCCGGCGAGTTTGAACCCAACCAAAACCCGCACCTTTCTCGCCTCATCCTCTCGCGCTTCCCGCCGCCCGCCCGCCCACCTGACGAGTGCCGACGCCGCGTCTGGTCTAGAGCCAAATGCCGCGAGATCTGCGCGCGTGACGCCGTCACCCGCCGGAGCCTCCCTCCGAGCTCCGGGGCCACGGAGCGCTTCGTCCCGGATCTCTCTGGTGCCTCAGGTGAGCAAGCTCTTGCAACTGGGCTGGAGCTCCTGGCTCAGCTTCCACAGCTTCAGTTTTCTTTGCTCCTCGATCGGTTGGAAATCGGAATGGTGGGGTAGATGCCTCTGGCCAGTGCAATGTTGCTCGAGTGGCTTTGGTGTGTGTTCTTGGAGTTGGTGACTCTGCTTTGCTCTGCTCCTGCCCCCCCCTCGAAAAAGAAGATTTGGATTTTGGGTTGCTTGGATTCGGAGATCATACATTCCGAACATTTCTTGGTGCTGCATATTGGAGTTGGCATTTCGGATTCAGTCAATCAACTCCCACTGTTAGAATATTTCAGTGAAATGAAAGGTTTGTAGGAGCTGGGGCTGCTGATTTTCTCCCATCCCCTTCAATCACGAACGCACTCCTGAGGCCGACATCTCGGCTCGTAGCTCATTCTTTTCTCGCCCCGCTTTGGTTTTCAGAAGCGGTTTTAGGGGTTGTCGGCAGGTTTTGTCACCGAGCGCTTTGGCGTCCGTAATTTTAGGCCGCTTGTCCTTTCTTGCATTTTCCCCTTTTCTTTCATGTGGCCTCACGTTTTCGAAACCCACGCCTTTTCCATTTTATTTTCCCCGCAGAGTAGTTTTTTTACCTGAAATTGTACCGGAACCAAGGTTTAATGGATGCGGTTGCTTATCTTCTCAGGATAGCTAGTCTTGACTCTTGAGATAGGCATGTGCCGACATTAGACTTGTGGGGAGTAGTACTTGAATGCACTTGTTAGTTCAGCTTCACCAATTCTCAACAGCCTGTTTATTCTTCTCCAGGACAGTAGATAGAAGGAAAAGGAAATAAGCTTGCTGTGTGTGAGCTGCTGCAGACCCCAAGAGGATGGATCAGTATGAGGTGTTGGAGCAGATTGGAAAAGGAGCATTTGGTTCTGCACTTTTGGTGAGGCACAAGGTCGAGAAGAAGAAGTGAGGCTAACTTGCTCTGTTTTTCATCTATATGGGCTAAGCTGTTCTTGTTCAGTAATTCTTATCGTGCTGAGTCTATCTCGCAGGTATGTGCTCAAGAAGATACGGCTCGCACGGCAAACCGACCGCACACGCCGGTCTGCCCACCAGGAGGTTAGCATCTTCAGCTTCATCCATGCTACCTTTTTCCGCATTTGGTATATAGGCAGGTACAGAATGATTAGCGGTGCCAATAGTTAATAGTTGCTGGACAAATCACTGTATCCATACCCTCTTAAAAGATGATGGCAATGTCATTGCCTAGTTTAGCAAGCCATGAACTGATCTGATATGAGTTTTGTGGAAATTTTCTTGCAGATGCAGCTCATCGCGACAGTCCGGAATCCATTCATTGTGGAGTACAAAGATTCATGGGTGGAAAAGGTAGCCAACGGGGCCAAATAAATTTCTGCTTTAAATAATTGGGTGAAAACCTTTTCTTGTTATGCATCTCATTCACTTCAAAAATTTCAGGGTTGCTACGTTTGCATTGTTATTGGTTACTGTGAGGGAGGAGACATGTATGTATTTCTTGGAGGTTAAATAGTTTGTTCACAAAACCTCTCTTTACTTCCTAGCTAACACAACCTGTACTGGTTCAGGGCTGAGGCTATCAAAAGAGCCAATGGAAACCATTTTTCTGAGGAGGTGCAGTTCTTGACCTTGTTTTCATCCTTGCGTTCAGTTGCTCTGCTGCAACCAAAGGATTCACCCTTCACTGTTTTTTTTTTCATCTCTAGAAACTTTGCAAGTGGCTTGTGCAACTTCTCATGGCTCTTGATTATCTGCATGCAAATCACATTCTTCATCGAGATGTGAAGGTCAGTAGCAGTGCTTGATTGATTTGATGATATTCCACCTCTTCCTAAGGCATGTAATTAACGGCAACTGAAACTTCTCGATTTGTTTCAGTGCTCCAATATATTTATTGCCAGAGATCAAAGCATACGCCTTGGTAAGTGACTTAAGCTCAAGAAAAGTACAGTACTTTATGTATCAATTCAGCAATCCCGGTGATGATTCATTCTGAATCTGTACAAATGCAGGTGACTTTGGTCTTGCAAAGATATTGACTTCAGATGATCTTGCATCTTCTGTAAGTATACTTGAAAGTTTTTGAGTTTTCTTGCATTTATTTGGTGGTGTTGCTTATTACTGTATTTGCTCCAACAAAGGTGGTAGGAACACCAAGTTATATGTGCCCAGAACTTCTTGCTGATATACCATATGGTACTAAATCCGATATTTGGTCTCTAGGTGTGTATCACTTCAGTGTCATAAACTATGTTTCTGCACCTAGATAGTACAAGCTTGCGATCTAATACTTGAATTGTTCTTTTACAGGATGTTGCATCTATGAAATGACTGCTCTCAGGCCTGCATTTAAAGCTTTTGTAAGTCCTTGGCTTACTATCTTTTTGGAGATTGTATGTAATTAGTTTTTATGTTGGTGCAATTTGATGGTTAATTAAGCTAAAAGCATCATTTGTACTTTTAAATTAACACTCCATTTGCTTACGAGGTTAGATGATTGTCTTCCTTGTTTCAGATGTTTATGCCGTTTACATTAGTAAATTAGGAATTATTATGAACGTATTGCTCTTGCTAGACACCCACTGCATTGTGTGCATGCTGACACTTAGTCATTGTAAATATTCGTAATTACATATAGAATTGGATTACTATCTCGGTCATAATAATCATGCAACTCTATGATTTCTTGGCAGGACATGCAAGCTCTTATTAGCAAGATCACAAAGTCGATAGTATCACCATTGCCCACGAAATATTCTGGTTCCTTGTAAGTTTGTTATTGAATTATGCTCTCTTTTATTTACATCTTGTCCATTGTCTTACCTGAATATTTTACTTCATGCAGTAGGGGACTTATCAAGAGCATGCTACGGAAAAGTCCAGAACACCGACCAAGCGTAATTCCTCAGTGCCTTTTTTTTACTGATGTACTATTTATGCTTATGTAGATTTGTTTACTCAAACAAAGACATTTTACATAACTGGCATATGCAGGCTGCAGAACTGCTAAAGCATCCACATCTTCAGCCTTATGTGCTTCAGGTCCAGTTAAAGTCCAGTCCCTCTCGCAATATGTCTCCAATCTATCAAGCTCTGACAGACAAAGTTAAGAAGATGACATTTCCTAGGGATATAACTGATTCTGTGAGAAGAAGGGTGGCAAGAAGGAACTCTCTGGGAAATGAGAGGACTGTAACATTCTGCAAACCCTCTCCTGAGCGGAACTCTATTAGCTCTACACGGAGCATCAAAGAATATACAACTACTCAGAGTGTTAAAGAGCTATCTGTTGACAGCAGTCAAATTGATGACGAGGTCACAAGTAAAGCCATTATAACAAAGACGTCAGGCATTCTAAGGACGCCCAAAAGTACTCCAGCCAAGACATTGACAACTAGAAATCGGTTGGATCCTCCAAAAACATCTTATACCAGAACAAACCATGCCGAGGTATTTTCACGAGCTTGTTCTATGTCCATGCTTTTGTTAATACTGGCAAACATGTGCTCCCAGTTTGTTTAAAATCTTCCTTGATTCTCAATTACAAGATGCACATGCTTGTACTGCTTTGATGCTAATCTTAATTCACGTATCTTTTAGTTTAGTTTTGGTGCTCCTCACAGTTAGATATTCCCCCACAAGCTTAGCATAAGTCCCCATCATGATTCATTTGTTTACCAAGTATAAATTATGCTGATTTTTGGCTGCATCACGAGTTTGCATTTACATGGCCATGGTACCTATTTTGTTGTTATATGTTGAGGAAAACATGTAGTCATCAACTCATTGAACTTATTTCCCCCCTGTATAGTTGACCTCAAGAACACCTCTGAACAAAAGCGCTCGGTCAGCAAGAAGAGCATCCCTCCCGCTGCCAACATACAGAGCACCCAACAGCCGCACCGTTAGCATCCTCGACCAGCTGGACTCGCCAGACGTGTCCGTCAACGCGCCTCGGATCGACAGGATCGCAGAATTCCCTCTAGCTTCATCCGAGGACCCCCTGGCACCCATGAACAAAAAACTCTCTTCAGCACCCGGCCACAGCCACAGCCCCGGCCATGGCTCGTGCTCCACTCCCCCCTTCATCAACCGGTCCATCACAAAGGACAAGTACACGGTGCAGGTGCTGCACACGGGCGACGGGGACAACGTGAGCGACTCGTCGGGGCGCAACGCCACCGCCGCGATCGAGCAGAGGGTCCAACGACTCGAGGCAGCAGCGGTTCGACACCTCGTCGTACCAGCAGCGCGCCGAGGCCCTGGAGGGCCTGCTGGAGTTCAGCGCGCAGCTGCTGCAGCAGGAGCGGTACGAGGAGCTGGGCATCCTGCTGAAGCCGTTCGGACCCGAGAAGGCGTCGCCGAGGGAGACCGCCATCTGGCTCACCAAGAGCTTCAAGGAGACGGCGTCGTAGCCTCCGGTCCTGTCTGTCTCTATGTAGCTGCCAGTTTTGTAACGTTTAATGTAGCTCAGGTAGTTTAAGCTATGTTAGGACCCCTCCCAGGTCTAGGTGCTGGAAGGAAGGCAACACCAGCTCAGTGTTGCCCTAACTTAAAATTCCCATGTTGTTTAGCCATTCTCCGGTTTCCAGTAGGAAATTGAGCAATCAGTGGTAGCATTAGTACTAGCTGAACCCAGGATCTGGCAAAGATCTTGAAACCTTGCTGTAACATAATCATGTGTCACTTGCGATGATGTAGTACTAAACTGGAGGGCTTGGAGATCCAGTTGGCAGCAGGTTGGTTGGGTGTCCATCCCCATCTTGAACAGAGGCTGAAGAATCCTATGCTAGGATTCCCATCCCCTGATCCCAGCTTGTCCCCCTTGTCTGCTGACTAAAACATAAGGGTGTGGTTGGTTGTTGGATGGGATTTGCATTGTATATGCTGGCTGAGGGGATACATGTTGAGTGGAATGGAATCGTATTTTAGAAAAGAAAGTGTTTAACGAAGTTGCATGAGCGTATATGAGATGCTAATTTATTTTAGTTATTATCTATTTGAGCGGATGCGGTCTCTCTGACCAGTGGCGTCCATGGGCCCGTGCGACCGAACTGGACCCCCAAAAATCATGGGCCCCAAGATTTACTAAGTATCCTCGCCCTCGCCGTTATTCGCATTGTCTTTGTACACAAATTGATCTAGTGTAATTGTTCCAACTTGCAAGTCATGTCTTCTTCAAATCGGATTAGAAAATATGAATCGGGAAATCAAAAGCGTAAGAAAAAGCAAAGAACTGAGGAATTAACTCAATCTCAGAAAGGAGCTATGGAGAGGTTTATTATTAGAGAACCACAAGTAATATATATAAGTAATACATTGATTTTTGCTATTATTTTCTTGTTTTGGCACTAGATATTAGGCCTCCACTTAGTGTTTGGAACTGGGTTTCCCGGGTCGCGCCTGCTCACACCTAAGAGTTTGACATGTGGCCTGCACAACACATCCTGCATCCACCATCCACCATCCACCATCCACCGGGCGCTCAGCAGGTAGGAGAGGTCTGTGTCTGCCAGTCTGAATTTCAGACCGATGTTGAATTTCTGACCGATGTGCATATGCATGGAACGGCATGTATCAGAATTCATTCAGATACACGTCACGTTTTCATCACATGCCGTGTACCTAGACCTTGTGTATGCTATGCAGTGCACCTTTGCCTTGGGCGTGCAGCTGGATTCAGGCACGTCAGCTAGCTACTAGCATATACTAGCAGACGGCATGTGAGAGGGCAGCGGCAGCCGGACGAATCTCTCCATGTGCCCTGCTGCCGCGCCGTCTCCCCTCCCGTATTGGGAGACTTACCTCCGCGCCAGACGGGAGACTGTCGAGCACGGGGCATGTCTTGGCCCCTTGCAGGCGTCCCGGAGGCAACGCCATGTACGCAACAGTGCCCTCCTGTCCTCTGCACTGCGTCGCGTCGCATCTCGATCTGGATTCGGGACAGGGAGGGTATTTCCAAGCGTCGATCCTAGCAAAAAAAAAAAATCTCGAGGGCCTAGAAGTAAATAGATTACTGATAGCTATGCAGGAAGGAATAATAATAAGTCTCAATAGATATTCATCATGTTCGTTGGTTGGTTTTAGTGAGGATTTGTCAGTTAGCCAACAATATTTTACTCTCACAACAAACCTAAGATCAATCAAATTTATCAGTTCATAAACCAACAAACGAACAAGTCGATCGACAGTCGTAGCCATTGGAGTAGAGTAGCGTTTAAACATTAGTGTACGATGTTAGCATAGAAAAAGAACTGAACATGGGTGGGTCATTTCTAGCACACATTAAACAAATCCTATGACTTTCAAATGGGTAGCTCCTCGATAGTTCTGCCTTCTTCTATACATAGGCTGAAAAATGGTGTCAGGTAGTCAGGTAGCACTTGTCCATCGATCTATAGATTAACCCTCCTTGCAAAATTAAAGGGTTGCAACAGAAGGGTCCTCAATTATTTCTGTCTTGATATCTACTGGAAGCATGATGATAATCACTATACATATATGCATTGAAATAGGGGACAACAGAAGGTCCATACTCCATACCTGCTTGTACTTCTAATGCCACAGTCTATGTACCAGTCAAACGCCATCATGTTGATGCATGGATCACACTATCGAGTCAGCGATGGTGGACTGGTTCTCAGGTTCCCCTACCCCTGGTCTTGGCTTCTGATCCTCGCCAACGTGCCTAGGGGACGATACGGCAGACGATGACGACGACGAGGAGGAGGATGGCACCGGCGACACCGCCTTGCGCGGGCTTGACGGCATGTGCAGCCTCCGCAGCTCGCTCATGGGGCTTCTCGGGCTCAGGAGCAGCGGCGGCGGCGGCTGCATCTGTGGCTGTGGGGATTCTGCGGCCTGAGGGTGAGGGTGCTGGTGTTCCGCTTGCTGCTCGGCTGCCACTTTGTTCACCAGGTTCTGTATCGTCGGTAGGAGCTTTGCTGACACAGAGATTATCCCAGGAACCTGCACACAATCAGTTTAACTTGTTATGAGCTTAACTCAAAAAATCAAAATGGACAGAGCTGAGGTAACTCAAGCACTAAGTTATTACAACAAGAAAGAAGCTTATAAATGGCGGTGATTTTTTTACGCTGCCGTTATGACGCAAAAGATGTATAGTACTAACAATGGCGGTGGCTTTTATAGTTGAGCTAACAAGTATAGTTGAGCTTAAGTGCAAACTATTTTCAGAGTTTAACATAATGCAAATTTTAAGTTGAACGTTATATCAAGTGTTCAGATCATACCACGCCATTTTGGAATTCTCTGCTGACATCTAGCTGCATCGCCAAAGCTTTGAACATCAAGTAGCCGACAAATAGCAAGAACACATAAATGGGATTCCTGCAGAGAACAGGAACAGCAATGTCATGCAATTGTTAAGCTGAACGTAAAGAACCACAGAGCATAGTGCTAACAAGTACCTAAGAAGCACCATGATCTCATTGAAACCAAGAATAGCGATGGCCACAATTGCCCAAGGAGGAGGCAGTTTACTATTACCACGCCTGTGAGCTTGCTGGGGTGAAAGACAAAAAGGTAAAGTCAAACATCGAAAAGAGATGTAGATACAGTTTTCACCCATGAGGGAAAAAGTCACACCATGATAACTGTATCAGAAATCAAAGCTCTGTTATATGAAATGCACACCTGTGTGGATACTGCTTGTGTAATCGTGAACTCAGTTTCTGATTTAAATTGCTTCCACAGTGACTTGCACTGAGAAGGAGTAATCATTGTATGCTTTGGAGGAATCTGTTTCCAGTTTCATAAAGTAGTGTTACGTGCACAGATACACTTCCATTGTTTGCTTGTGCAAGAACAGACCAACACAAAATTACCTCTTCCCAAGTGGTAGAAGCAAGTGGATCAGCAGAAGCAGCATGTGCAATCTTTGATACAACAGAGCCTTCCAGAAGTGTTGAAGTGAGGATGCTTTCAATCCTATCTGGCTCGTCATCCCAGCGAATGGCCACCATTACAGACAGAAGTTTGAGAGCCTGCAACATGAGCATAAATGCATTTTACAAACAGAAAACATAGGAGCTGACGATTGTTGGAAGTGTGTGGTTCTTGTACCGCAGATCGAGCTTCCTTTGCTATTGCACGAACATCTTCCTTTCCTGTCCAGACCCTTGGAATTGAATCCTTGTCATGGCTAAACACTGTTGTGAACCTTTAAACAAGAGGAAACAGTGTCAGAAAATTATGGATCGATACTTCATATTGTTGAAGAAGAACAATAGAGAATTTTATCAACCTATCCTTCATATGGATCAATACTTTGCTAGATTCCTCTTTAGCTTTACTTTCCACAACACTCCGGGCATAATCCCTTAATTTGGATACCATTTCTTCTGCTGGAGCGTATTCCATTTCAAATCCACAAAGGGTTTTCAGAAACTCTGGTAGGATGGCTTCTGTCTCACGTTTGTAAACGTTTCTTATTGATGTCCAGGTTGTTTGGTCTGCAGCATCAAATAGAGACTCCACAGGTTCAGCAAGTGCTTTTCTTAGTTTCTCCTGCAAATACAAAATAACTGCAATTATTACCATGTAACCAGATAATATCGAATATGCAAATAAAACTACAGTGGGGACTTCCCCTGCTGTATTTATGGTTCACAAAAAAAGATATGAAAATAAATCCAGAAGAAAATTATGCATTGGTAAGCTAGTAATTAAACTCTCTTTCAGCTTGGCATACATAACCTTAGCATGGGTTGTCAATTCTGATAGCTTGCTTTCACGAATTGAAAGTGCATGATCTTCAATATCACGCCGAACTTTCTCTAGTATTTTAGAGCAGTCCCAGTTCGCCTGCTTGATTATAGCATCTAGAATACAAGTGTGCTTGTCAGATTGATGCATCAATTTAATATGAGGCGGCTTGCAGTATCAACTTAAAAGGATTGATAAGCCAAAAGAAACACACGAGATATGGGTACTCAAATTGCATAAATTAAGTAAATTAATGGATAAAAGATATGTTATATAGAAAATTTGTTATTCTTTGGATGACATCAGGCTTCTTTAGTAAGTTTCAATGGCCAGTACACTACTTTCAGAACAAATTACTATTTTGAGCGGCAGAGCTCCTACCTATACTTTAAAAAAAAATTACTATTTTGAGTGTTTTTAGTAGGGGTTAAATTTTACCAGTGCTTGAGAAGAAATCACGAGTATATGATGTTTACCTGCACAGCCTTGTTCAAAGTCTTTGAGAGAGCATTCATTATTCTCTCGAGCAGATACCGCGAATCCTTTTCCACTCTCCAAAGATGAATTAAGACCAGTTTTAAATTTTTCTAGAGCCTTCGTGCGCAGATGAGTCAACATTTTCTGGAATGCAGATTGGACAAGCTGCAACAAATTTTAGATTAAATTAGAGGGAGAACAGTAAATGACACTGCAAGAAATAGAATGAAAAACTACTAACGGTACTTATGCATAAGGAAGATTTCAGCATGTACTCTT